TTGATAAGTTCTGTGACCTGCAGGTAAAGAACCTTGGGAGTTGCTGGGCATGGATTTAATTGGACCACTCCCAGAAACACGTCTAGGGAACCGATATGTCCTGACCATGACCGTTCTGGGTGATTGCAGAACCTCTTAAGTCCAAGACTGCTGCTGAGGTCTCTGCAGTCATGACGTCTAAGTTATATACATGTTTGGCATGGTGAGGAAGATCATCACTGACCAAGGAAAGGAGTTTGTGAACCAGGTAAAATTTGTGAAAGTGTTAGTCGTACCTTGACATTTGAGATGATGTATTTAGACCAAGTCTGCTCATGCCACTGCAGCTCAACGACAGCATTTTCAGCATGCTGAATATTAAACATGCTGTTTCCAGTGCTTACCACCCCCAGACCAACAGGCAGGTTAGCATTTGGATATCTAACCTTGAGTAACTCATGGGAAATCAGTCATGCTTCTTTATCTATTCTGCAATACAACTCAAGGATGAGAGGACCAACCAGAACATTAAGCATGCTCTCAGAAAGTACGTGAACCAGAACCATGACGACTGGGACGTTCACCTTGCTGCTGTGGTGTACGGCATCAACACTGCAAAGCAGGTATTCCTATTTTGACATTTTGTATGACTTTTACGCTGCTTCACAGTGTAGCATCGTCTTAAGAATGTTTTTAATTTTGTTTATAAAAAAAAGAAGTTATTGACAAGTGCAAGAGAAAATGAATTAATGGAGAGATTTTGTGTGATCAGCACTCCACCCGCCACAGTGCCTATTTCCTGCTCTTCTACCGACATCCACGTCTTCCTGCTGTGATGAACACCTGTCCCATGGACGATGACTTTGAGGTTGCAGACCCAGAAGTGGACATCGACACAAGAGTTGAGGAGATGACGGTTCTGAATGAAACAGTCTGTACATTTGAAGAGGGCTGACTGACAGGGAAAGGAGACTTGTTGAGGAAAAAAGGGGAAATGTGGTTAGTGTATTCAACATTTTTACTGCTTTAGTAGCTAACTTTTCTGTATTTCTATATTTCCAGAATGAGCATTGCCATGGCGACCTGGTGAATAATAAATATTTATTTTTTTTATTTATTTTTTATATTATTATTTCTCTCTGCTTTAATAATCTGGGTTGTAACCATCCTCTCAATCCTTTTTCTGTTGTTCATGCTCTTGTAATCTGTTGTTTGTGTTCCGCATTATTACAGTAAACTGTGGAAATTATAAAGTGGTCCTGTGTTATTTTATATGGATATAAACATGAGTGTAGTTAAATCTGTATTTAATATGTTTAACTTATGAATACCTTGAGAAACTATTTTCAAACATTAATTTTGCAACATTGTGAAAATGATCACTATGGTATTACAAAGAATTAAGTTATTTCAAGACAAAGTGGCAAACGAAGAAATCTAACACAAAAGTAGAAAGTAAACAAATTTTAGGTGATGAGCCAAATTGGCTTTTGTGCAAGAATATATTACATTTCATATTGGAAAACATTCATAGGACATGTAGTGCAAATTAAGAATATCTGCTGTATCACAGTGACACATTTTCATCTTTTAAATGAAAATATAACCTATTGTGTGGAGAAAAAACAAACATGTAATAGGTTACCTGAAGACTAATCAGCCAGTGTTTACTGACAATTTACAGTGGACATTATCAACAGAACATCAAGATAATTCAAATCAATCGTCTCCACACATACAAGCATAAACACACTAAATCAAATTTAACACGCATATAAAAACATGATTTGTAACAACGCAAATTCAGTTTACAATCGGGCTAATTCGCTCGGTCAGCAAGTGGCAGTATCCTCGTACACTGCGGAGTAAACTGCCATTGAACGGATCACAAGAAGAATAGAGCATCTGCACATGCGCGGTACGGATCAGGTAGACCCTATCTGTACGGTCCGACTTTTTTTTTTTTCATTTTTATCTACATTAAATTGAAATGTTTCACTATTGCAAACATTTAAATAGATACTTATTATTTTTTAACATTTTAACAGATACTCTGACCCGTAACTATCGTAAAATGCTTCGAGCGGAAGTAGACGCCTTTCGCGCATGCGTGGTACCTATCGGGTTTCCGGTACGGATCGGGTAGCGACAATTATTATTCCTTGGATGTTAATGCAACTCGAAGGGCTGTGTGTACCCCACTAATTATATGTCAAAACGAGCAACTCGGCCATGTGAGGTGTGCTAATATTTTTCTAAGTGGTTCTCCTTACGATTATGAATTATTTAGCAAAAAACATTGAAAGGTGTCTGATTTTTATGTGTGCCACTCTAAATTTGCTTAATATTTTCATAATGATCAATTAAATGTGCGCATTATTAATAGGTTAATTAACTGGCAGGCCTTCTTAATTAATTAATTAAATGGAGGCATTTTCACACATGCATGAATAAAAACAATTCTTTATTAATAGTTGAATCATCACTTTTGACCCTTTTTTATTTACCTATATATTTATTCATTCATTTATTTTATTATTTTATTTTATTTATTTACTTTTTACCTTTATCGATCCCCCCTGGGGAATTGTGTTGCATCAACACCTGTAGCTTTTTGGATTTTTTGAAATAATACATCTCAATAATTTGTCTTTCCAACAAGATTTTTTGTTTGAATGTTATAATGATTATTGGCATTGATATTTAATCTTATTTATTTTTAATTCAACATTAAAGATGGCATTTTTTGTGGGTGGAACTCAATTTCAAATGCACTGTAGTCATGGTAACCAAGTAATCAGCATTCAAATATCAATTCTGTAAGAAAAGTAATTGATCTACTTTTAATATTTAACACTATTTATTCCTGTTGTGTGTTTTCCTTGATATATTGTCTTATTATTGCAATTTTTAAAACTTTTATATTTCTTTTATGTATAAAGTGGGGGAAAAAAGTGTTTAGTCTGCCTTTAATTTTGCATGTTCACAAACTCAAAATGATGAGAGGCCTGTAATTTTCATCACAAGAATATCTCCACCACGAGAAACAAAATGAGAAAAGAAAAACTATAAAATCACATTGTCTGTTTTGTTTTGGATTTATTTGCAACTTATGGTGAAAAATAAGTATTTGGTCAATAACAAAAGTCCATCTTAATACTTTGTTATATAACCTTCCAATTTTAAACTGCACTTAGACACAGAGGGCTGTGGGTGCAAGTGGGGTGGTGTGGTGGCATCAGCTGGCATAGGCCAGACAATGCCCGCACTGCCCGCTCACCACAGCCATGGAATACACCTCATGAACACACAACACTACAGGTGCTGGCCAGTAAATTAGAATATCATCAAAAGGTTGAAAATATTTCAGTAATTCCATTCAAAACGTGAAACTTGTACATTATATTCATGCAATGCACACAGACCAATGTATTTCCAATGTTCATTACATTTAAATTTGATATTCATAAGTGACAACTAATGAAAACTCCAAATTTGGTATCTCAAAAAATTAGAATATTCTGAAAAGGCTGAATATAGAAGACACCTGCTGCCACTCTAATCAGCTGATTTACTCAAAACACCTGCAAAGGCCTTTAAAAGGTCCCTCAGTCTTGTTTTGAAGGCACCACAATCATGGGGAAGACATCTGACTTAACAGCTGTCCAAAAGACAATCATTGACACCTTGCACAAGGAGGGCAAGACACAAAAGGTGATTGCTAAAGAAGCTGGCTGTTCGCAGAGCTCTGTGTCCAAGCACATTAACAGACAGGCGAAGGGACGGAAACAATGTGGTAGAAAAAAGTGTACAAGCTCTAGGGATAACCGCACCCTGCAGAGAATTGTGACGACAAACCCATTCAAAAATGTGGGGGAGATCCACAAAGAGTGGACTGCAGCTGGAGTCAGCGCTTCAAGAACCACCACGAGGAGACTCATGAAAGACATGGGATTCAGGTGTCGCATTCCGTGTGTCAAGCCACTCTTGAACAAGAAACAGCGCAAGAAGCGTCTCGCCTGGGCCAAGGACAAAAAGGACTGGACTGATGCTGAGTGGTCCAAAGTTATGTTTTCTGATGAAAGCAAGTTCTGCATTTCCTTTGGAAATCAAGGACCCAGAGTCTGGAGGAAGAGCGGAGAAGCACAGAATCCACGTTGCATGAGGTCCAGTGTAAAGTTTCCACCGTCAGTGATGGTGTGGGGTGCCATGTCATCTGCCGGTGTTGGCCCACTCTGTTTCCTGAGGTCCAGGGTCAATGCAGCCGTCTACCAGGAAGTTTTAGAGCACTTCATGCTTCCTGCTGCTGACCAACTTTATGGGGATGCAGACTTCACCTTTCAACAGGACTTGGCACCTGCACACAGTGCCAAAACCACCAGCACCTGGTTCAAGGACCATGGTATCCCTGTCCTTGATTGGCCAGCAAACTCGCCTGACCTTAACCCCATAGAAAATCTATGGGGTATTGTGAAGCGGAGGATGCAATACGCTAGACCCAACAATGCAGAGGAGCTGAAGACGACTATCAGAGCAACCTGGGCTCTCATAACACCTGAGCAGTGCCACAGACTGATCGAGTCCATGCCACGCCGCATTACTGCAGTTATTGAGGCAAAAGGAGCCCCGACTAAGTATTGAGTGCTATACATGCACATTCTTTTCATGTTCATTCTTTTCAGTTGGCCAACATTAGAGAAACAAACATTTTTTCATTGGCCTTTAGAATATTCTAATTTTCTGAGATACCAGATTTGATGTTTTCATTGGTTGTCACCTATAAATATCAAAATTAAACGTAATAAACATCGGAAATACATTGGTCTGTGTGCATTGCATGACTATAATGTACACGTTTCACGTTTTGAATGGAATTACTGAAATATTTTCAACCTTTTGATGATATTCTAATTTACTGGCCAGCACCTGTATATTGGAGCAGGCGGAGGGAGACTAGGGGTCTTAGCACACCTCTGTTGTCGCTTGGCTTCCTGGGGCTGGAGGCTAGGAGGGAGATCTGGCCGTCCGGTTGGGGTCTGGGGTGGTGGGTTGCTATGCTCAGCGTTGGGCTGGGGAGCCTGCTCATCAGCACCCCAGCAGAAAGGGTCAAACTCTGGTAACTGATGATGGTTGTACCCAATGTGCAGCAGGGTTCCTGTGTTCTGGGGCAGCGCCTGGATCTCTGGGACTTGGAGCTTCCCCCCATCTCCTACGCATCTTTGGGGGGCGGATCTGTGGTCCCTCACACTCTCTATTGGACGCTCCTATAGAAAAACCTTACATAATCAAGCGCGTGCACACACAGGTGCTCACATGGTGCTCTCAAAAGTATGGGCTTAGGCACGTTCAACACATGTCTTAACCCTTTGATGCATAATGGCCACTACAGTGGACAGGTACTCAAAATTGTTATTTATTTATTTTTGCTATTAAGCACAGCTATTGAAGACTTTATTGCATTTGAACCCCTCCATTTGGACTAAAGTAAGTCAAGCCAACATATTTCATTTTCAGAATGCACGCTGTCTACTGTGGTGGACGTGTAATAAACTGTGTAAATTAAATGTTACAAAGAATATGTAAATATGAAATTTGTTTCATTCACACCTAAAGATGAATGAAAAAAAATGTTTAAAAAATCTTGGTTGAAGATTTCATAATTCATGCATCAAAGGGTTAAGGCTGTCGTTGCCACTACATGCACTATGATTTATTATCGTGTGATTGTTCAGTTAAACAATGTTCATTTTATATAGGGCTGCACAATATATCGAAAAATTATCGTCATCGCGATAACGGGACGTGCGAAAGCCCATCGCAAAACACGGCAAAAACAGCGATAAATGTTTGGTTCAAACATTTCCATCTGTGTCAAACAACCAGCTCTGTTTTTTACGCGGAAGTATTATTTGACCAATCAAATGTAGTCCTTCTGACATACGGCCAATCAGATGGTTCCGTTCACGTAATACGCCCGCCCCCTACATAGATCCTTTTGGAAAGCAACACCCGAACATTAGCGGCGCCATTCCCTTGTTCGCCATGCTGGCTCAGAGCAACAAATGCACTTTGTGCTGATGTTTCTGGATTCAGCGCTGCTTTCAAACGTGAACGTGACTCCGCTCGGTGTCGTTAATCATTTTTACCGGGCTGACTCCGACACGTGCCGGTGAACCAACCCACCTTCATGTCGCTAGTGTTAGCCCCAGGCTCCGGTTAGCTTCCAGCTAAAAGGCTACAGCACTCTCCTCCCAGTCCCACCCTGCTAAAGAGGGCCTGGAAAAGTTCCCCCACACATCAAAGTGATTTTTCATTTATGAGCTTTTATAACCTCGTTAATCAGGATAGTTGATTTGCTGCTGCACATAAGCTGTCAGTCAGAAGCTCTGCTAGCCGGTTATCCTAAGAGGAGCTAGTTCAGTTTGTTAGCTGGTTATCAGAATCATAGTTGCAGTTTCATCATCTGAGCTGCTTTTTAAGATCCAGGTAAACTTGTTCAATTTGGGGTTAAAAACAAACGTTTTCACATATTTTCCATGTAGTTTTTTGCCAGTTCCTCTTCTGAAAGGTAGACAATGGTTTTTCTCTTTCCCTCAGAAAATCTTAATATTCTCCTAGTTTGGCCCAGCACAGTTCACTTCCCAATAGCAGCATCAGCCTTATATCATAACCACATAAGTGGAGAAAATGTTCAGTAGCAATGAGAGAATTTGCTGTTGCATTGAAGTGATGTTAACTATTATTTAACATTTAAAGTCTTTCTGATATTTTTATTTATTCTAAAAACCCTGGTAAGGGATGTTTTTCTGTATTTGGAGCATCAGAAAAAGTTTTATGGTGGAGGTGATGTTTTAAAGTCACTGAGAAACTGCATGCATGCAGTTTGTTGTTTTGCTGCTAATACAGTAGTAGGTGCAGCTGCATATTTTTGCAATAAAAATGGTATGTTGTAATGGAATTCATGCATTAGTTGTTGTTTGCTTTGAACCCAGAACAGACGTCACACGCCAGACGACATCAACACTGCATACTTTAGTATTTGTTCATTTATCGTGAGTAATATCGATATCGCAATATTAAGCACTGCAGGTTTTCCTAATATCGTGCAGCCCTAATTTTAAATTTCACCATAAGGTTGACGCGGTGATAGCTTGCTCCTGATGTATTGTTGTGTGTCCCATTTTTTAAAATTCTATTCTTTCTCTTTCTGCAGGTCTAGAAGCAGACACTTGTTAATTATTGTTTATTTTTGTGGAACCCCCCCTTCCCCCCTTCTCCCCACCTTTTGTCATTTCCTTTCTCTTTCACCTCTGACTCCGTGTCTGGTCGGAATTACAAAGCATTAAAAAACAATTAAAAAAAGGTGGAAAAAAAACTTTGTTGGCAATGATAGAGATCAAATGTTTTCTGTAAGTCTTCGCAAGGATTTCACTATTGCTGGTATTTTGGTCCATTTATCCATGTGAAAAGTGGGAGGGTTAACTCCTCACCCCTGCCACGTGGACCTCAAGGGATAAACCATCAATCCTGCTCAGAGGTCAACTTTCCTCACGGGGTTACCCATGAAGAAATTGGGAAGGCTTGAGCAGTGATGTTTTGGGGCCGTCGGTGGGCAAAACGGACTTTTAACTCCCTCCAAAGATTTTCAATAGGATTGAGATCTTGAGACTATAAACCACTCCAGGACCTTGAAATGCTAATTATGAAGCCACTCCTTTGTAACCTAGGCAGTGGCGGTGCTAGAGGGCGCTATAGCTACCCCTGGATTAGTCATTGCACCCCCATAGCACCCCCAAGTAAATATTAGATTTTTTTTAACGATTTAATTTTAATTTAACGTGTGGATGTGATAATATTTAACATACAAAACAAAAATAATCTGTAAATTATCATGTTGTAGATAGTAAAAACTTAAACCAAAACAGGAAATTGATGTTAACCTTTGACCTCATTTTCTACCTGCAAACGAGTGAATGGTAGAGCTAGTGGTAAAATGAATCAGTTTTTGTTGCCCAAATTTCCACAGGTTCAGTCAGAAACGAATGAATCTTTGGAAGTGATCTCAGACCCACTAAAACCTATGGGTCTGGATGAAGAGTCAACCCTCAACCGCCACAGCAGTCGAGGGTTTTGCCGCTGGAAATGCTAACACTAACGTTAGCTAACCTTGCAACACTAACATCTTCTTTCCACCAACATGTAAGCATCGAAAAATGGCTGTGATACGTACTTAGCTGTAATTAGCCGCCGTTCTAATGGACAGGTTCCTTTTTTACCGGCCTTGAAGCTTCATGTTTTGGGCATGTCCTAGAGTATAATGCTTTTATCTCCATTTCCAGAACACGTCCAAACTCTACAGTTTAGATTGGGCCAGACATGAAGTCGATAGCAAAAACAGTGTAAAACATTTGGAAACTTTCAAAATAAAAGTCGCAAGCAGATTTCCAGTTGCTTAACTAGACAAAAACAAAGTACTTCCTCACCTCTGTAATTGAGGTAGACAGAACAGAATATAAACCTCAGACCTTTTTGGACACAGCCGTCTTTCTTCTTGCTTGTTATTGTATAAACTTCCAAGTTCAGGACCAGCTGCGTGGAACAGCATCTAGATCACTCTTGCGGGTTAGGGGTGGGGACTGGAGCTCGTGAGTAAAACGTCTCTATTACGTTAGGCACAGCTTTTGCGTCCAGTGGAAAGGAAGGGGTAACACCGCCAAACAAACTGAGCATTGTGATTGGCAAGACACTAAACTTCTAAGGCCAAATATAAATCATTCATACTCAAAAGGATTTTTATAGCACAATTAATTATCCAAACCGTCTTCCAGGTTTAGCTAGGGATTCACTCCTCAGAATTCCTGCAAGTCCACCAGAGACTTGTTTTATTTTTTAATTACTTTCAAGGAATTAGTCAGAAATTGTTGTTGAAACAGAAAAAATAAAAGCTGTGAAGCATTATTCTTTCCCCACAGTACTTAATGAACCAATTTTCTTTACCAGCCGTGTTTCATTTCTTGCCTGAGTCAACTGGAACGCTGAATTAGCTGGTAGCAGTAGCAGCCAATCGAGTCAGAGCCTAAAAGGAAATGCTCCGACGAGCTAAAACACAACTGTCATCCTCACCATCATCTTTCCATCTCTGTCTGCACCTGTTTGTGTTTGTGAATATTTGCATGCAAAAGGTAAAGGAGGCATTTCCCTCACCTGTGGCACCCAATGGTATACCATCCTCTGTTGCACTGCCCCAGTCCGGGTCAAATGATCAAGAGTGTGTTCATCCAACTGCAAAGGTACACATTAGTGTGTGCTTTTCATGCCCTTATTCTTAAATTGGTGCTATTTGAATGTGATGCTCCACAATTCTAGATTCCAGAGCTGATCCCATCAGAGGAAGACTACAAGAGAGTCAAGAAGATCTTCACTCTAGATGGCGAGAATGTAACACATCTTTGCCTCTGCATTTATGAATGCTTTGTTTGGTTGTGCTGAAGCTGGAGTCTGCTGCTTGTTTTCAGAGATGGAAGGGAAAATATCCTGATATTGGTTACTGGGTTTTCCTTAAGCAGTCCTCCCACTGTAAGGAGAGTCGTACATCACTGGCCTTCAGGGTCAAAACAGATTTGGTGATACCAAGGGCATATGTCTAGACTCTTAACCTGAATCTTCTATTTTTATCACTTCATCTCCAAGTGCAGAACTGCTTCATTTAGTAATGCACTTTTATTCAGGAAAATACCTTTGTATCATTTCTGCAGCCCCTCTTTGACTGACTAAATATATTTGACTTTACTGAGTGTTTATTGCGCTGAACTTTTCAATATAGATCCATGTTTTTAGGCGATACACATTCCTTCAGTCTTCTTGCTTACTCAAGTCTCGTGATTATGTGCTTCTCAGTGTTGCTCTTGATCCTGACTTGTACTATTTGCTGTTTGCATGGCTAGCGGGCTGGAGGCCACAAACACTCTAAGGTACAGCCTGTTCGACCGTGGGCTCACTGTTGGAATGCTGCAGTCGGAGCATGTCCTTTTCTGCTGCCGACCCCTCTGACCTACTTTTTGTGCTCGTCTTTGACCCCATGCTGCTTCCTGGGTTCATGCAGAGGCCTGGAACGTACTAATATGACACAAACCAGTGGAAACAGACTTGAGTCAGTCTCTGCTCTTGACCAGGTTTTTGAAAATACCAGCAAGGGTCCTTTTATCTTTTGTGGCTTTATTCTACACACTTGCATGCATTTTACACAAATCAATTTCATTTGACAGTGAGACTATTTTACTTTCTGAAAATAATTAAGTAGGTTTATTGTAATTACCTACAAATTTACATTTTAGATTAAATAGTCTCCTTGAAAATTTAATTCTAAAGTTAAATTTTGCTCAGTTATGCAAATGTTAGAATAAACAAATGCTTAATGAGCTGTTACAGGCGACTGATTTGCACGAAACGCTGCGGTGACGAGAGTCGCCAGTTAAAGTAATGAACATTTAATAACTTGCTAAGGAAAGGGAGTCAATTTGCCCAAAGTTGTTTGTTATTCACGGTCTGTTCCCTCTATAATATGATGAAATTACAAACAAAAGGCCATTTTTTAAAGTAGTAATGTAGGCACATAGATGAGATTTGTTTTTATTTAAAGCAAATTCAAAACCTCGTTACCACCTGTTAGGAAAAATAAAAATCAAGCTCTCGTTGTTCTGCTCCAGATGAAAGGTTGAAGAATAATTAAGTTATTTTTCTGGGTAATTCATTTTATCAAAACTAAGAGCTTTAAAGGTGCAATGAGTAAGAATTTTACATTAAAATAAATAGTAAATAGCCTGTATTTGATATAGTGCTTAGAGTCCTAGAACCCCCCAAGGTGTGTTTTAATCAACATCAACATTTACAACACAATCAGTCGTACACACACACACACACACACACACACACACACACACACACACACACACACACACACACACACACACACACACACACACACACACACACATTCTCTCCCTGGTGGTGATGAGCTACAATGTAGCAACACCTGTGAGGTGTTAATCGCTCCTTGTTACCCCTGGTATACTACACAATGCAAAACTTGCCCCAACAAAGATTCTCGCTCCAACCTTAAAGACTCACAGGAAAGTTACCTCAAAATGAGCCAAAATTTGCGTTGTGTAGGCTCAGCTTAACTGGCAGCTGATGCTGAGAGCAGACTCGATTGTTTTGATGCATATATTTGAGTCTGCAATACCTAACTTTAACCACATGGTGTCATTCTTACTTCATGTACCTTTAAATGTTGGAAAACACTCATCAGCTTGGTGACAGTATCCTCCCAGGTTGCATCAAATGAAAAAAAAAATCTTTTGGAGGCTGAAGTCCAGTTTTCCACGATGAGGCTTCATTCTTTAAAACTAGCCCATAAGTGGCTGGACAAGAAAACTGGAACCTGATGGAGGTAGAACATTTTTACTAGTTAAGTCTTCTTCTGGAAGAGATTTTCTTCTGCTGAAACCCCACCCCTTAAAAAAAACACAGAAAAGCTAAAGCAAAGAAGCAATTATTTAAAAAAAGTTTACATTTCTTTAATTGTTTAATTGTTGACCTATTAAAGAAATATCTTCCAAACCCAGATTGTCCATATGCTTTGGGTTGAATCTAGAATGAGATTTTTCTCCTTTCACCTGTATAAAAGATTTAAAACCTAACGCTCCCGGTGTTTCTGTATTTATTTATGAGGGATTTTTTTTCTTTTTTAATCTTGTTGCATCAGTGAGTTTATGCTGACCCAAACCTTCTGTATTTCTGAGCTGACAGCTACTTTGTTTTACACACATGGAGGCGTCTGACATTTATAACTCACCGTATGCAGACCCAGCATGAATTTATAGACTCACCACACATCCTCACACTTTACATCCACTGGGACTGCTCATTTCTGCATTTACACAGTAATTATTATTTTATGAAGAGTTCTTTACTAATTTTATTAAAGTTGCTGGCTTTCTGCATCCTTTGATTGGATTCTGGTCTTATTACAGTATTATCTACTAATTATTGACTCACAACTGATCTGCTGATTCTCACAATGCTTTACTAGATTTTTCCCAATAATATATTGGAAAATTACAGTTAGGTGTGATTTTGATTGTCATCCTTCCCTCCTTCAGTCCCGTCTTGTTGAGGACCCGGTGGCCATCCTTCAGGCGGAGCACGCAAATGCGACTAAGGTCTGATCACGGCAACGACTGGTTGTAATCCTGCCTGCATCGTTTTGTGTTTGTTTTGTTGTTTTGTGTGTGTAAAAACTAAAAGCGTGATCATAATTAGCAAGGTAGTTTCTCCTTCTAGAGGACATCATTTCCCCATAGTTCTACCTGTGGTAGTTTCACCCTACTCAAAGTTAGAGCTCAGCTGACGTTCCCATGAAATGTTCCCAGGATGCTTTTTGTGTTTCGACATATTTACATGTACAAAAACTTGGATTTTCCATCATCCTGCTGAAACTCAAATTTATATTTGATCGCAAAATTGGTCTAAAAGCACACTTTCAGGATGAGTCATTAACTCGACTTTTCAGAAAGTTATTTTTAAAAGCTTAACACTTACAAAAGGCCAGGTTCTGGCAGGGAGGTTCTGCATAATTAAAAAAGAAAGTAATTAAACACATCTTTGAATTTCACGGGGACTTAAACTATGTGTGAGATTCAAACCTTAGAAGAAGAAAAGCTAACATATGGTGTTTTTCTAATTTCTGCGAGCCCGAGTAACATCTTTTTCCAGTCAACATCTGGTTTTACAGTTTTTCCCTTTAATCAGATATTTGTTTTTGGATGAAGTCTAATCTTTTTGTGTTCTGTCTCATTTCTTTAATGTAAACGTGATATTAACCCTCTGAGTTCAGTGAACTCGTTGAGTGTTTTAATGGTGCATTAAAAGGTGAGTCATGGGAGTTTTAGTTGTTTTGTGTAGGGCTACTGGATGTAACGGACATGAAATAAGATGATGAAACATAAAAGCAAGACCAGCGAGCTCAAAATCAGGTATCTTAGTGAAAATAAATGTCCACCCTTTGAGCTTAGTTTCTGTTTTATATAAAAGTGAACTGTAAAGTATTTCTTTATGTTGTTTTGAGAGCTAACTGTGAGTTTACCAAAAAGTTATGACCTCTCAATAAATGAAGTTTGGTTTTTAACCATATCAAACAGCAGATTCACAAAGAAATTTTTTTTTGTTCTTTCAAAAATATGATCGTTTACCCTGAGTTCATGCAGGCTGAAGGTAAAAATAGTTTCCAACCACAATTTCCCGCATCAGCCTTTAAAAGAAAACAAAGGAACGCTCGGGTCAGGAAATGCCACATGCATCTGCGTCACACTGTAAATTTGCATTCATGGACTCACCCTTCTTGGCTCGCGTTGTGGAAGGTTGTTGTTGATTTAGTGTCCAGGGCCCTCATTTATAAACTGTACTTACGCTTAGATCCGTGCGTATGTTGTGCATAGGAACTAATTTAGCCATTGTGTGGTAGAAATGTTCCTAAGTAAAAGAAAACCTCAGACCATGCAGAAGAACAGCATCTAGTGGTAGAACGGGGTAACTGCATTACAGAAGGTCAGTCGTCCACACTCGTCCACAAATTATGTAACCAAATAAATAATTATTTCAATAGAAAAACAGCTTTTTCAAATAATTGGTGCTAAAACCATTAAAAGACATCTGTTACCGACAGGAATCTGATATTTTAGCATGGCTGATCTGTGTTATTGGAGGATTTTGGGGGATACATCCTCCATGAGCGCACTGATCTTCCTGAAGGAGATCCTTCTGGAGCTATGCTGTCATTTGGGACAGTTTGTGGAGCGACAGATGAGCAGCATGAATCCAATTTAAACTATTGACGACTACGAGAACCCCCTAACATCGTCTGCTCCCTGATCATATACACGTCAAGGTAACCAGACTGAATGACAGCTCGAAGGAGGCTGCACTCAGATGGCAAATATTTCAATACAAAACTAACTCCAAACAGAACATGCATACAATTCCTTAAATGTAAACTGTAAAGTACAGCAAAATGGAACATTCAATCTGTTTTTCTACATATTTAAAAAAAAATTGTTTTCAGTTTTATGTTAATCATTTCTAAAGATATCGCCACAAAACTTCTGGTGAGTGATCCTGGTCCGGCCCCCCAAAAAATCTGATGTGAAAATCCGGTGGGCGTAGCCTATTTTCTTAAATAGCGCCCCTTAGGACCATTAAAATTGCCAGCCCTAAGCCATGCTTTTAGGATTACGAAATTTGGTACACTAATGTGGTGTCTCAGGACCTACAAAAAAGTCCCTTGGAGCCAAGCGCAAAGTCGCACAGGAGGTCTGCCATTTTGGTCCAAGTATTCGATTTAGTGGTTTTTGCACACGTTGTTTGGAGAATGATGCCCCGTCTAATCACCGTCAAACTTCTGCTATATGCTCTTTAGCTATAGGGGGAAAAAATTCAACCACTGGATTTTTCAAAAGTTGAAAGATGTGGGCGTGGCTAAGCCTCAAACTTTGACCTGTCGCCACACCACTCTTTTTCACAGCTCCGTATTGAACTCCTTTCACCCAATCACCAGCAATCTCTGGCAAATAGCAGTAGACAAGTTGAGGTAACTTGGTTTCCAGTATTGGCAGGTTTCAAAAAAAGGCGGGGCTTTGGGAGCATGGCAAAATTCGCCATTATGCCATGGAAATACGTTTGCCTCCAATTTCCTCAGTTATCGTGATATCGCTTCGAATTCTCTGGTGAGTGATCCTAGTCTGACCACCAATAGAAATGGACACAACAGGTTTATGGGCGTGGCCTATTTTCAGAAATAGCTCCCACTTGGACCATTAAAACTGTCAGCCCCAAGCCATGCTTTGACTGAGGATTACAAAATTTGGTACACTAATGTAGTGTCTCAGGATCTACAAAAAAGTCTCTTGGAGCCAAGCGCAATGTCGCAGAGGAGGCCAGTCATTTTGGTCCCAAGTACTCGATTTAGTGGTTTTCGCACACGTCGTTTGGAAAGTGATGCCCCATCGCCCTTTTCACCAATCACCTTCAAACTTCTGCTATATACTCTAAAGTCAAAGGGGAAAAAATTCAACCATCGGATTTTTCAAAAGTTGAAAGGTGTAGGCGTGGCTAAGCCTCAAACTTTGACCTTTTGCCATTACATTACTTGACGTAATAACTCCCATGTGCATGATCAGATCCATATCAAACTTTGTCTGTGTGATCACTGCCACGTCTCAAGACAGTGACAATGTGGACAGCTGACATCACCTAAGCCCCGCCCCCTGACAACAGGAAGTCTATTGTTTTATGGTGTAATGCCCATATTTGACCCCTCTAATTTAGTCAACATGACACTAAGGTCATGCACTGTCTTCATGATGCTGTAATGACCATTTAGTTCTGATAGCTTTCCAGAAACGGAGGGGCTTTGATGCGTGATGCCGTGACCTTACGTTTTACTGTAACTTCTGCAAACAGCCTCCGATCTGCATGAGACTGAACATGGCAATCAACAATCATGCCCTTTAGCTTATGAGGCACAAACGGTTGGTGAACGTTGTATAATATCACCACAGCGCCCCGTACATACCTTTACAACTGTAATAACTCGTACAGACGAGGTCACACCTGCACCAAACTTGCTATATGTCATCACACAAAGGCACCCAACATAATCCTGTGTCACTGGTTGATATCACTTTACCTCCGCCCCTGACAGATATTAGGCCCTGAATAACACAAGCATGATGCAATTCACACCGAACTGCACACAAATGATTGTTGTCAACCTACAAACTGCTTCATGGAATATTTCCTAAATTTGGGACAGCGCCCCCTAGATACAATAAAACCTTTGTAACTTCTGCCAAAAAGCTCCAAACTATATCAAACATGGTGGGGGTCATCACACAACTGCAATCAACATGTGTGTGCTCACTCGTTCAAATTACTTTAACTCCGCCCACTTACAGCCTTTTGGCTCTAGATGACCCATGCAACGTTTGATGCCAAATTAACAGAAAACCATCTTTAATGACCAAAGATGACCTCTATGGGATTTAGTTGTAAATGGTCACAGCGCCCTCTAGATGGGTTCAAACTTTATCAACTTCTAAAGACAAGGTCAGAATGGCATTATACTTGGCTTGTGTCATCACGTGACTGCACCAAACACACTGATGTGGTTGTTGGTTCAAACCCCTGTAGGTCCAACCCCTTTCGGCTCTCTGGGTCTAGATAACACACACAACGTCTGATGCCAAAATAACAGAAAACCATCTTTGTCAAGCAAAGCTGACCTCAATGGGATATTTCTGTAGTTGGTTGCAGCGCCCCCTAGATAACTTTAACCTTCAATGACTTAAAAAAAACATGGTCAGAATAGCATTAAACTTGGTCTGTTAGATCACACCACCAGTGTGGTAAAGATAGAGTATCCCCTAGTGGTTAGATGTGTAATTTAATGGTGGGCTCAGAGAAGATGCTGAGTCGGGGTGAGGTGCAGACGAAGAGACCGTTCGCGGTTTCTGGTGTCGGGGTGGTTGATGTTTATGTTCAGCAGACGTGCCCGGGTGCACCAGACTGCCGGCCAGGCCGGAGCGGCGCGGAGCTGCGAGGGCCGAATGACGCTGCTTGCAGTTAAATTTTTCTTTGTCTGACTGAGACCTCTCCTCTGTCCTGACTGTGTTTACAAACTCTACAACTAGCCTGGTTCCTTTGCACTTCGGTAGCCAGTGCCTCAATCTTGCTGTCAGAGTTTTGCATTTTTTCCCCGTGAAGAATGCAGGGAATCCCCTCATGAGCTGAAGACCAGATTGGGTTAACTGAGGGCGTTTCTGTATGTAAGTGATGGTGAACGGACACGTGCACCTGGGTACGCACAGATGGGATTTATCATTACCGATTTTGGAGGAACATGCGTACGAGTGACCACCACCTGTTTCATAAATCAGGATTTTGACCATCCAAACAAACTTTCTAAAGTTTGTCCATAGGAAGGAATATAGGAATATTTCTATGAACTTTTGATGCGTCTCAGCTAGTACAAGCTAACCATTAGCATTAGCAACTGCACAACACAGCAGAACTCCTCCAGGCTTGTGTTATTTGGGGAGAAAAACGTAATCAATGCAAAGCAAACGGTGGCAGTGGAAGAGTTGCGTTGCTGTTATCCAGTCAGACGCAAGATATCTGAATATCATAAATAGTAATGAGTAAGACTCCATACCCTACTGTTTTCTGCACCACACTCCTCCGGCTCACTTCTGCTTCCTGAAACAGAAGCGCTTGAGCTATTTTATGCAAAGAACAACTCATAAGGCATTCATTTTTACTAGAGACCAGAGCTAAATTATTTTAAAAAACTGAGTGAATGAGATCTTTAATGTGATGCATTTCTACCTCTAAACTATTGTCATGCTCAGTTTCTTGTCCTGTTTTCACAGGGGAAATCCGAGGAGGATATAAAAGCAGAGAAAGCCTGGTATAACACAGAAAAAGTGTGGCTTGTTCACAAGGATGGATTTTCGTTGGGTTCGTATGACTTTCAGACTGAATGTTTATCTCTATTTGTTTTGATGACTAGGGCAGATGTTTTTGTTACAGGTGGCATTTAATTGCAAAAATGACAGAAGTGGGCGTTTGGAGTGCTGACGACACTTTTAGGAATGTTGGTGTTAAAATATGTTGGTTCATTAGTCAACTCTAGTTTACCTCAGCCTACATGTGGTTAGACCTGGCATGTGTTGAAGCTGGTGTGCATGTTTAGCTTTAATAAATATGAGGCAAAGTGTTATCATGCATGAAGCCTGTGCACTCAGGTCCAGATCACGTCTCAATAAATTAATCCACACTTTGTGGCGATGCAGCAACCCTCCTGAAGACGGAGACAGGCAGCCTGCCAGAGGGGAAGGTAAAAATCCGCCTGGAGAGTGATGGATCTTTATTGGATGTGGATGAAGATGATGTGGAGAAGGTACTTAATCATAAAATCAACTCTGAACCTCATCCATAATGGATGACTCTCAGGGAGTGTGACCGCCTCTGCCTTTGAACTCTAGGCAAACCCTCCGTTGTTTGACCGAGTGGAGGACTTGGCCTCTCTGCAGTATTTGAATGAGTCGAGCGTGATGCACTCCCTGCGGCAGCGGTACGGCAGTAACCTGGTGCACACCCACGCCGGGCCCAACATGGTGGTCATTAACCCCATTAGCGCCCCCTCTATGTATTCTGAGAAGGTAGGCAGCAGTCTGTTGGTGTACAAGCACACATCTCCTGAGGATCAATACAAATGTAGAGAGAATTATGTTTACAATGATAGCTTCTGATCCTCCCACCTTCTTAATTACCTGTTTGTTGTCTTTCCAGGTGATGCAGATGTTCAAGGGCTGCAGAAAAGAGGACACTGCCCCTCATATTTACAGCATGGCTCAGTCCGCCTACAGGAACCTGCTCACCACTCGCCAGGATCAGTCCATCGTCCTGCTTGGGAAGAGTGGAAGTGGGAAAACCACAAACTGTCAACACATCATCCAGTATCTGGTTACAGTGGCTGGAAGCACCAACAAAACCTTCTCCAGTAGGGTGGATAGGAAATTAATTCAGGCCTTGTTCCTGTTAATTATCTGCTAATTAATCATTTTGGATCTCCTGTAGCAGAGAAGTGGCAAGCAGTCTATTCCGTCTTGGAGGCGTTTGGAAACGCCTCTACTTGTATGAACGGGAATGCTAGCCGTTTCTCCCATGTTGTTTCCTTGGAGTTCGATCAGGCAGGATTGGTGATGTCCGCTTCCATCCAGGTACAATCATGTACTTACCTTTACTGTAATTGAATGTCTTTGGTTCTCAATAAATAAAAACTTTCATGTTATTGAAAAGTGTTTTTATCCATTTAATCTCCAATAAAATTAGAATTTTTAGCTCTGACAATATCTGCATGTGCTTCCCCTTTGCAATATTTCTTATTTTGACTAATTCAATAGAAAACTTCCAAGTGAAACCAAGTCGGCTGGAAAATCTCACACTATAAACTAGGTAGGAACTTTTAACTGACTGGAATAATGAACTGAACTCAGTGGAAATATAAGTAGGTTCAATTGGAATATTTAATTTTTAAAGTGCCTTGACTCTTGATTGTGAATTGGTAAAAAAAAGCATTTAAAACAGGATAGCAGTTGAAGGTCTTGTTCAGTGAGAAACCGTTTTTTATTTGTTCTTTTAAACACAGTCAGTCACACAGAGTTTCACATTCAGGCATCAGGCTGAACGTGAAATGGATCTTCTGCCCCTAATTCCCGCATTAGTCGCTGACAGAAAATAGACGGAAAATCGTTCGGGTCGGAAAGATCCACACAGATCGACGTCACACTGTAAAGTACTGCGTCTCTGTGATTAGAAGCTAACCGTTAGCATTAGCAACTCCACAACATGGCGAAACTCCTCCAGGTTTGAGTTATTCATGGGGATAAAACATCAGCATTGCAGAGTGAATGGAGGGTGTAAAAGTTTTGTGTTGCTGTTACCCAATCAGAGACTAGCTGTTTGCATATCATTAATATTAATGAGCACAACTCCAAATCCTGCTGTTTTGTAACCCCCCCCCCCCCCCCCCCCCCCCCCCCGGCTAACTTCTAGTTCCTGGAACAGGAGCGCCAGAGCTTTTTATCCCACAGAGATCGAGAGTAAATGTGTTGAAATAACAAAGGAAAATCCACTTGAAATAACATCAGAACATTTCAACATGTCTAGTTTTCTTATAAAACTTGTTTTTGCCCACCCTTCATCTCAGACACACTGTCAAAATATTATTACGCCAAGAGTTTTTTATTTTTGGCTACAGCTAAAATATTGCATATATTGTAATATTTTAATATCCTGCGCTAATGTAACTCCACAGACCATGCTCCTGGAGAAAATGAGGGTGATAAGAAGACCAGAGGGAGAATCCACGTTTAATGTGTTTTACTACCTGATGGCTGGAGCAGATAGCTCTCTCAGGTCAGCATCGATCCTCTCTTGCCAATTAATCTTAACAATACAGCTCTGCTCTCCACTGGATTCATTACACAGATATATGTCGGTGATATATCATCGCTGCCAGTCACCGAGTCAGCTGTCATGTCTTCTGCCTTGTTTCCATTTCTTCATCAGAACCGAGCTTCACCTCAACCACTTTGCCGACAACAATGCGTTTGGAGTCATGCCACAGACTAAGGTGAGAGGATTCCCCGTTTTGTTTATATAACCGAAATGAAGCAGAAATCATCCCTTTTAGCTGTTATAAAGCTGTAGTGTTTTTCTGTAAACATGCCAGGCAGAGGAGAAGCAGCGGGCTTCGCAGCAGTTTTCCAAGCTGCAGGTAGCCATGAAGGTTCTGGGGATCAGCGCCGATGAGCAGAGGGCCCTTTGGCTCGTCCTCGGGGCCATCTATCATCTCGGAGCTGCAGGAGCTACCAAGAGTAAGATTTCTGAACTCAGTAATGGTTCTCCATTCTGCAGCTGCATCGTTTATCAGCACTGATAATGTTATTCATAGCAGGATTGTGCACCAGTATAAAAAACCTCTAACCCCTCCACAAAACAAACCCAAAAATTACTTGTAGTAACTAAAACTCATGCACATATTAGCAGCGTTTTTCCGTACGCCAAAAGATGTTGAACCCGCATTATAAAAGCATCACTTGTGTAATGCAAGACAGATGTAACAGTTAACTGAATTATGCATCTGCAGTTAAAAAAGGGAAAGCTGCTGCACTTTGCATGAGTTGTTAGACGGAGCTGCACCGATCTGCAGCTCTAAATAAAAAATCAGGCTGCTCAGGAGTAGTTCTGCTTACATGTGAGAGATGAAGTCACCAAAACTTCCTTTCATAGTTTGAAGCAGATGTTGAAATGATCCAATGTCGTTTTTTCCTTAAAAGATCTAAATGTGTCAGAGATGCATCATCATTTCTTACTCAACGAGAGAAGTCTGTTTTTGCGCGAGTGACTGAACAAGCAGTGAACCCGTCTAATCTTTGGGAGTCACTGTTGCAGTTTAAAAAATGCAATCATTTCCTGTCATGAAGATCTATTACAGTAATATTTGGAACAGCTTAAATGTGAGGGATTCTTTCTGTCTGCAGCTGCATAAATAATGAAACCTAACAAAAGAGTTGGCAGTCCCGCACGTCGGCAAATAACATTTTTAATTTAGATATTATTCATTTGGAAAAGCTAAATGTGCCATGGAGATGTTTAATTTCTTTGATTATAATTTCATCCATATTATCAATCATTGAAATTCCCATTATTAAAGGCTGGTAGGGTTTTATAAAACTGACTTATTTGTGCAACAAAAATACATTTAGAACCAAGGAAACTTGGTAAAAACATTCTGGCTGTGTTTTCGATTCTAGCGAGTGTAAATGTGCAGCAGTAGTCATTGTGCATTGTGGTTTTTCAAACAATTTATGCAGAATAATAGTCAGAAATCCATCCTTTTGTGGTGGCGGCAAATAATGTTTCATGTCATTTCAGGCTGTGGATTTATTTATTTTTTGCAGTCCTGATATTTGAATTTTGTCCTGCTAAACCCAGTAAATCCTCCGATGAGCAGTGCACGCTACTGATGGAGAAGCATTTTTAGTTTGATTTGATTAGATTTACTGTGTTATTCTCCTGAGCTGAGATATTGTGGTGGCTGTCTCAATCAGAGCTCAACACTTTGTTAAAGTGCAGCCAGATTGTTTACCACAAGAGGGCAGCAATGGTCTCTAATGTGTTGGAGCTAATTAAAGTCGCCGCCTCAACAGAAACTTCCTTCTCTGTTTACTCTACGGCTAAAACCAGAAGTATAGATTCAAACAGACTCCTAACATGATGTTTTAATATCTACATGTGTTTATCTTTTTAGTTTTGTTTAATATCTTTTCTGGTTCAGCATGAGTCTAAGCTAAGATTTTAAAGTATTTTCTTGTGTTTACAGCCTCCTGCTTCTCGTTATGAGACACATGCAAGGCCTCTGTAGCTCTGATGAAACCAGCGGAGCCTCGTAGTTTTCATGTTTCACCAAGTCTCCCCAAGTTTCAAATTAAAATAATGGTTTCTATTTTATTGATCACATTTTATTATGAGGAGACTGTTAGTTTTTGTCTGCTGTGTTCTTGTGAGCTGACTAGCTCCCCCCCTCCCCAGGCAGGATTGTCACAATGTGTCTAGACCTTTGTTGGCAGAAGGTCTAATGGAGGTTTTAATGCACGTCTCAGCTGGCAGGAAACAATTTGCACGTCACGAGTGGGCCCAGAAGGCTGCCTACCTGCTGGGCTGCACCCTGGAGGAGCTTTCCTCTTCCATCTTCAAGCATCAAGCCAAGGGCACCCTGCACAGAGCCGGCGCCATCCGCCAGGCTCCGGAGGAAAATGGCACAGCAGATGCAGGTACTCAACAGACCACATTTACCAATGTACTCTTTCATTCCTCAGAGCCCCCACCCTCTCCTCCTGCTTCGCTCTTTTTCTCTTTGTCACTCTCAGCCTGCTCTCTCACACACGCACGCACGCACGCACGCACACACACACACACACACACACACACACACACACACACACACACACACACACACACACACACACACACACACACACACACACACACACACACACACACACACACACACACACACACACACACACACACACACACACACATGCATATGTGTCTGCTCGTCACCTGAGGGAAATTGCATGAATGAGAGAAGGTAAAGCTTATCTTGGTAATGAATACTACACCGTTACAATGGCTATTGACAGACGAGTGCACACACGCTGTGTTGGGACAAGCAAATTTGGATCCCCTCTTCATTCATTGTCCTTCACATCATAATTGCCTCACATTGATTTTTCACATGTGTGGGTTCTCTGACTTCCATCAAGGCTGCAACAGATGTTGAAGGGCACGAGGATACAGTTAAAAGTCCATCACAGCAGGGACGGACAGAAATAACCTCCGTCTCACCTTCCTCCGCATCTCCACTCACACATAAACCTACTGTTCAATATGTGCGTGCATGCAGGAGAACGCCACTCGCCACCAAACATAAACTCAGCGTTCTGTGTGATGGTGGAAAGAATTAAGTGAACCTAACAGGTGGCCGTTGCCTCTGGGCACAGACATGCGTTGGCACGGTTAGATCTGACCGGTTCTAAAGCACCCAAGTCCTAAATGTCAAAGCTCTACAAAGACACTCTCAGACCCAGCTTGGATGCTGCTGCCTTGGGGCAGAAAATACTCAGAATTGATGCCATTGTACTTTGTCTCAGGAGCAAATGTAGTTGGAGTGAAACGTTGATTCATTGTTTTAATTAATCATTTAGTTATTCTGTGTTTCTAGTTGAGGTATTGTGGATTAGAAATGATTAATTGGGCTTGTTGTTTTATTTTTTCCTTGCAGGATCCAAATCTACAGCCATGGAGTGTTTGGAGGCAACGGCGTCTGGGCTCTACTCTGAACTCTTTAATGTCGTCATTTCTTTGATAAACAGGTAAGTATCTAAATCAGATCAGTGAGGTAATGGTCAGGGTCAATTTACAGACCATCACCCAAAATGAAAGTTCTAGAATGTCTTTTTGAATGCCAAGACCAGGGCCACTTAACTCTGATCATTGACTGGAGCTGAGGTAGGAACTGTCCAAAGGTCCAAGGAACTCAGTGAAGAGCACAGAAGAACTGTAGATTTGCAAAGTCTTTTCAAAATAACTTCAGATTCCAACAAGTACAAGTTAAAGTCCGGGAGACAACTCGAACCGTTGACTTTGGATGAAAGGAAGCTGGTTTGGATGTTCTGGGAAAACCATGAAACCACCAAAACTAGAGCCCACCATGAACTGGAGACTGCTGGGACACCAGTGTCTGTCCAAGGTGAAGATGGTTTTAAAGCTCAAATGAGAGGACACTGACCACAAATGGAGTTCCATTCTCAACTGAGTCAAGCATCTGCCCACTTGAACACGTATTCTGGTTAAAGGTTTTGTGGTCCGACGAGACCTAAATGGACATTTTGGACCTCCGTGCCAATGAATGGGTGGTGTTATTTAAGAAATCTATTTGCAGTTGCAGGCATGATGTGGTACTGATGCACTGAAAAATGAAGATAGACCATCTTAAGATTCTTAAACTTGAAACAAATAATCAGATGGTGGAAATTTTGACACAGTTGGGCGTTTAAACAGGACAGCGATCCCAAACACATCAGAACTACTGCATTAAGCATCTGGAATGACCTTTCCCAAGCTTCCACCTTTTTAAAAATTTCCAACGAATTGGTTAAAATCTCCCAACTATCAACCTTTGACCAGTAATATAATCTAAATTTGAATCTTTTGTTTCTTGCATAGTGTCTTTAATTTGTATTTGAAGAGTGTACGAGGCTACTTCCTTTTGCAGGCTTAGATTAGAGGTAAAGGAAAGCAGTAAGATATTTTATAGTGAAGTTAAAGCTCAGATTAATTGCAGTCAAAAGTTTTCAGACATAGTATGACTGTTTAACATTCACATGTGTGTGTTCTATTCCCCGTACGCTGAAGGGCCTTGAAATCCAACCAGCACTCTCTGTGCTCCCTGCTCGTTGTGGACACGCCGGGCTTTCAAAACCCAAGGCTCTCTAAGCGCGAGAGCGGCACAACCTTTGAAGACCTCTGCCACAACTACACTCAGGAGCGTTTGCAGAGCCTCTTCTACCAGCGCACCTTTGTTCAGGAGTTGGAAAGATACAAAGAGGTACAGACATGTGAAGGATAATGCGCCGTGCATATATACAGCCCCACTCTCCTTGTTTCTGTCTTCCTCCCACCTCTTTCTCTCCTTTTGTCTGCTGCTTTTTCTCAGATACATCAGCTCCAATAGTGCATGTGTTCACACATCAGATACGCTACCCATCCCACCTGTCACAAGCTGTGACAAGCCGAAGCAGTTCATGTGTTAGACCTTCTCATTAGCGATGCCAGTCTTCACCTCTTCTGCCGAGATCAAAGTAAAGTCACTCACAGCTGCCTTAGAGCGACACGCCCAGCTGCACAGCCGCGGCGTTACTCCCTGATGAAAGAACTATTCTTCTGTCCTTTCAGCTCATTCTAGCAGAACCGGACCGTAATAACTGGGCACAGTCCTCTTCAAGGATTTATTAAAGGGCAAATACTGAAGATTTCTTTTCACGACTTACAAATATATCAGCCTATTCCAGTTGTCGCAGCTCTAATCTTAGAAATATTCTTCTCGGTTGACACCATATTGAAGTTAACATAGAATCCAGATGAAAATGACTTTAAATACTGGGAACAAGGATCCTGGGACTTCCCACCCATTTTGCCACCCACGTCCTTTTCTTTTTCTTTCAGAGAAATGTGGATTTGAGCAAAATGAAGGATTGCATAAACCTGTGCGGAGTATTTTTTTTCCTGTCATTTCAGCTTGAAATATATGAAGCAGTGAAACTGTCATCGTAAACTGGGTCAGACTCATTTAAAGCAGCACTCAGAGTTAACAATAACACAGACAGGCAGGTTAAACGTGATATAATCGCACGCGCTTTAATTTTAATTGCAACGTTGTGTGATGAAGGTATTAGAAACTTCTTGTCTTACTATGAACTCCTACGCTGACACTGGTCGTGGACGCAATATTGACACTTTCCGCTTTTCTAAGGCTGCCTAGATTTTAGTTTCACCACTGCTGTGCTTGTTTTTTTCTCTAGAATGTATTTTAGCATATTAATGTGCCCTTCAACCCCTGATATATTTTCATCGGCAATATTAAATGAGTAATTTTTTTGCGTTTTCATTCACCCTGTAGCAGAAACAAATACAGCAAATGCCAGCAATGATTTGTTTAAATGGGCTTATATTTTCCATGACATGTAATGTGATGTTTTTACAAAAATGCCTTTTATTGTTCATGATGATTTTTTGAATTGTGCCTCTTAGGCACTAAAAATAGTTCTGGATTTAAATAAAAGGGTGGCTGGTCTTTAAATGCAACTATACTGAGTCAATATCTGTTGAACATTTTAGGGAACGGATGCATGAGCAGAATAGCGTCTCACTATTTAATTTTTTTTATTGTCACAACTTTTTGCCCTCATTTCTTATGCAGTATGCCCATCTATAGTCTCACATAGAGTGTAATCAAATAGGATTTATGCCACGGACGCCTGGTTTAACGCATCCTGACTTTTTAGCCAGCTGAATCACCTCCAGGTTGCATTAACTTTTGTCTTCTCTATCACTTTTTAAAGGGGTACTATGCAACTTTTTCATATTTTTAAATCATTTTCTTGAGACAGTATGTGCTAAAACGACCCTTTACAGGATTAATGAAATGTCTCTTAGACCCCCATTGCCCACTGTAGCCAGATTGTCTCACTTGCAACTTCAGAGTGGCGGGCCACCTCCTGTTGGACTTGGTAAAAGTGGAGCTGACTTGCTTAGTGGTGCAGTCTGTTTCCAGCATGTTTCCTGCTTGTTTGAGAAAGAAAAGAAAGAAATCAATCTTTTATATAGTGCCTCTCAAGATAAAAATCACAAAGTGCTTCATAAGAACAAAACATTTAAAAAAATTAATTAATAAAAAAAGATGGTTAAAATAAGAAAAATAAATTGTGATTAAAATTTTAAATAAAGGGAAAAGAAAAAACTGAAAGGAAAGAGGCAAACCAGTAGATCCCGTGAAAGGCAGAATAAGGAGAGGGTGGTGATGAAGGTCACACAAAAGCCAACTTGAACAGGTGAGTTTTCAGCTGCTTTTTAAAGGAGACCACTGAGTCCACTGATCTCAGGCTCAGGGGGAGAGAGTTCCAGAGTCTGGGGGCCACAGCAGCAAATGATCTGTCACCTTTGGTCTTTAGCCTGGTGCGTTGCACAACCAGTAGGCTTTGGTCACTGGACCTCAGGGACCTGCTGGGGGTGTAGGGACTGAGAAGATCACCAATTTAGATTGTGAAGACAACTTATTTGTTTAATTGTGTGTTGAACCGCTCCTGTAGACACTAATGAAGGCTGGGGAGACATTTTAGCTGTTTAAGGTGTTAAAAAGATGAACGCACAGCAAGGAGATAAGATTTGCTTTTGGTTCTACGAAATTGACACTAGGGGGTGCTAAAAGCAAGCCAAAACAACCTAGTCTCCCTTTAAGTGAGTGTTGCATGACCTGCCTAGGATTACAGTAAACAGAATAATCCAGGCCACATTTAAGATGCCACATTTAAATAAAGACAAGGGTTTTGAATAGTATGTGCCCACCTACATTCATTTTAAAGATGAGTTAACAAACATGCTAGCTCTTAACTAGCCAAAGTTAGCACAGCATTGAAGCAATGCTAACAATGTTACAAGAGAGATACAGTAGATCAACGTCATAAGTCTGTTGTTTCTTAGATGCTAACTCTCTGCTAACGTTGTTAGCATTTCGTCCTCACTGTGCTAGTTTAGAGCTAGCATGTACCATTTAACAACCCAAGGCAGTAGCTTGTTAGCTTCCCTTCATAGTTAGGAATGTAGACAGACACATACAGTTAAAACCTTTCGTCTTCATTTGATTGTGACGTTTTAGATGTGGCCTTGGTAGTGCCATGTACGTTGTTGATGGTTATCCTCGGCAGGTCCTCCAGCAATAGCGTACAAGTGCCACAGAGAACATAAAATTTACTGTGGCCTGGAAATGACTCAGCTGGCAAAAAAAATCAGGAAGTGTCAAACTGGGGGACCGTGAAATATAGCTCATAGTCAGTCACAATGAGAAGGTTGTTTGGTTACCATGGTGACATAAATGAAACACTGGCAGCAGCGTTACCATTTATTTTCATCTCAACTCCCGCTATACAGTGAAATCACTCAATTTTAGACATTTTAGACCATCCATCGTTTTTACTGGGTCATCTGAATTTGACTATTCCAGCTTCCTCAACCCAGTTTCTAATCTTTTATCTCTTTTGCCTGATTAAAAGTCCAAAACCCCAAAGCATCAAGTTTACTCCTACGCTGACTAAAGCAGACAAAAAAAGCAAACCATTCTTGTAAACTCTTTTGCAATTTGTTGGGTTCTTATTATGGATTTCTGAGCTCTGACGTTTATATTTACATTTTAGCTACTGAGGTCACTCGGAGGCTCTGAGACGGCTCCTGACTTTATGGCTTCATGCAAACGCAGGAGAGCTGCAGCGGTCAACAATATCAACCCTGTAAACAGAATTTATTTTTCCTGTTGGTTTGGAGACGAGACCTCTGACCAAGCGGGAACACTATCTGCTCTGCCTTAATATGATTATCAGCCTCCTCTTGGTTAAACATATTCATCTCTACCAGAGAAAAGTTGTAACCCGGGGCTTTAAACTGACAAACATGCTGGAATCTTTTTCAACGCGTTAATGACTTTCAAAAACTAGAAGAAAACCTATTTTAGCTCATAATGAATGAAAAAAACTATTTTTTGGTGATCTGAAGCTAAAGTGACTCAAACATCATGTCTGTCTTCCTGTAGGAGAACATTGAGCTCGCCATTGATGACTCGGAGCACAGCCCTTCTCTTTCCGTAGAAGTAGTCGACCAATCTTCAAGCCAAGCACTGGTAAGTCTTTATCTCTGCACAAAACTTCCCACTGTAGTTTATTTCTCCCAGTAACCACCTGATGACTCTTTTATTTTGAAAGTGTTTAAAAGTCTATCTCTTAATTCTATAAAGTATCAGCAGAGGCCAGAAAAAAGTATAAGAGCAAGAAAAGAAAGGTTAGAGAATTGACTTCAAGAAAGAAAATCAATGTTTGGCCTTTGCAGCCTGTGATCTGCACCATGGAAACAGAAATGGCAGAGTTTAAAGAATCACGGATCCCGTTGCTGCAACTCCAGTGTGTTTAGTTTGAATGCTTCACTTTTTAAAGCTCTGATAGGAACGCCATCAGAGGCGGTGAGCTGCAGTACATCACACTAAAGAAAAAAAATAATGCTACTTTAAAGACATTTTTAAAGTCTGCTCTAAAGATATGTTGCTCAGAGTGAAAAGACATTCTTGATCAAAGATTTTTCTAACCCAGAGATACGTTTTGTGTTTGCTGTCATAGCTCAGATGTCCATTATCACAGCTTCAATGTTCAATTCATTCCTGCCTCATAGTTGTCGTATGTCTCCTTCAAACTGATGCAGTGTGTGTGTGTGTGTGTGTGTGTGTGTGTGTGTGTGTGTGTGTGTGTGTGTGTGTTTGCAGCCAGTGTTGTGTGCATGGCTGATAAGGAAGCCTCCAGTGTAACTTCCTGATAGCTACTCAAACAGCCTTTTGATTTGGTTGCATTTGTTCCCAAGTCAGGCTTCCAGAAGCTTTGCTAGCTGACCATACACACACACACACACACACACACACACACACACACACACACACACACACACACACACACACACACACACACGCACACACACATTCAGAATATTACAGCCATAAAATCGTATCACTGACATTTGACTACATGGTACATCGCACGCACAATGTCCATTAAAACTACAATCTGGAGTTTTCCCTCTTTCAGGAAATATGTAGGACTTTCTCAATAATCAAGGACGCTAGTACGTTCTTGTGTACTAGACAAGTATGTTCTTGGCAAGAACACCAGAGATTCTGTTCTACCGAGTACGAGAGGACGCGGACGGCATTTGGAACAGAACCGTACTCTCTTGTGTCCTGGCAACGAGCACTGCTTCTTGCAATACATTAAAACGGTGTAAACACAATAGTTGATACACTATCATGGACTGGATATGTGATTGTAATGGTGGCAGGATACCTCGGAGTAGCGCTATGCCCTCTGTTGTCCTGGCGGGGAATTGTTTTGCAACAATCTCCAGATGACTGAGAAGTCTGAGAGCAAAACGCCTTTGTTAATTAGCGAGTCTCTCCCTTGCAGAGCTAACGTAGAAGTACAAATTAGGCTTAAGGCCCTGTGTCCACATATGTGGACATTGACTTCTTTCATTAATAATGCACTCTCTTCAGCTTAGAGCTTATTTTTTATTATTTAGAGACTTGATATTGACTTTATTGTTTTCTTCTTTGTTTTGGAAGGTTATCAAAATGTTTATTTACTTGTTTTAAAATATTGTTACCATATTTTTTGTCCACGTTTATTGTCGATTAATTTGTAATGGCTAGAAGTGCTTTTCTTTTAAATCCCACCAAATACAAATCCATGTCTCAGGACATTAAAACAGCCTTTATAGTATCTTAAAAAAAGACACACAACCTTCGTCATTAACCTAATCCTTGTGAAGTGGTGCTGAAGCACATTTTACTGTCCTCTCGCTGATAATTATTTTGACTAATTGTATTATTTTAAATTCCTTCTCTTGCAGTGTGTACTAATGAACTTCCTTTTGTTGCCATTTCTAATATAAGGCAAAGCTGAGTGGATGACGCTATTATTGTAGCTGCAGCTGAAGGACGCAGGGACCGTGAATGTTTTCTTTTTACTTTCATTTTCACTGCTGATAGTATTATCTGTCCTCTCAGCAGTACTGGCTCAGAGGGGGGAGGGGTTGCAACAAAGTACTGTTACTTACATTTAAGAGCTTGACTGCAGATGACTGGTCAGTTTTCAGATTGTGTGTGTGTGTGTGTGTGTGTGTGTGTGTGTGTGTGTGTGTGTGTGTGTGTATGTGTGTGTGTGTGTGTGTGTGTGTGTGTGTGTTCGTGTCCACACGCACGTGCTCGCACGCACGCACACACACACACACACACACAAACATATTCTTGGTTCATTAAAGCATTCCCATTAAACTATTAAAACTAGCTAAATTTTCTTGTGTCAAGGTGATTTATGAGTTGTGTAATGAAACAGATTTTTGTAGAATTGGTAAAGAGGGTCATTTTTTTTAAAGAATATGAAAGAAGAAAGTTGAAATCAAACACTTTTCTTTCAGCGCAGGACTTGGAGAAGAAACCTGAGTTGATGTGTAAATATGTGTTGGTGGAACAGGTGCGCGCAGTTCGGACAGAAGAGGCCCGGGGCCTCCTGTGGCTCCTGGAGGAGGAGGCCCTGCAGCCGGGGGGGTCAGAGGAAACACTTCTCGGACGTCTCTTTAGCTACTATGGCCCAGCTGAAGGAGAGAGCAAAGGTGAGGACAGGAAGGGCGCGTGCGCACGCACGCACGCACGCACGCACACACACACACACGTAGAAAGTTGAAAAGCTAATTTTTTTTAAACGGATTGAAGTAGAGCAGTATAGATGTTAATGAAACCAGGACACGTCCTTATTGCATGCTGTGAAACATTCGTTCAGTGTTGGCAAAAGTCAGGATAATGGAAACCTTTTTTTTGCTTTTCTACTAAAACGATTGAACACACAAGAGTAGAGTAGGTTTTTAATGTACTACTATTCTTTATTTACATTTTGTTGAGTTAGTAAAAAAACAAATTTTACTGTAAAATCACGTTTGAATAATTCTCTTCCATTAGCGTTTTCAGTTGTAAATTTGCCAAAAATGCAACACAGTAGATCCCAAAACAGCCACAAATTATAGAACTCTCAGTAAGAGGATGCAGCATTGACTGATGGGAAATCAAAGAACTTCGTAGGCTTGACGTATTTCTACATCCTGATTTGCTGCTGTCACTCTGTTGTTTGATTCACTTCCAATGGGTAACAAAGAAATAATGAGGCTTTGGCTACAGTCTTTACTTAAAACTCTTCCAAAAAGCCAGACTGTTTATTTTACTGATGGAAAAGTAACATTATCTAATACATTTGTGCGCTAATGCTCTAACAGCTGCTTAAAATGAAATGGAAAAGAGCATGATCCAATTACAAGTCCTTGAGACCGGGATGTGCAGCCTGTAGCATTCAAACCTCTCTGCTGCTCACAACATTTAAAAAGATAAATAACATTTCTGATTAGGGATGTCCCGATCCGATCACATGATCGGATATCGGCCCTGATCACGTGGTTTCAGACTGATCGGGACTCTGCCTTTACTTCCAGATCCAAGCCCCGATCCAGAGTTGGATACTGGGTTCAAATTACAGGAGAGCAACTTGGTTCTCCTTAAAGGTTGTCAGGCTCTCCTGATGCCCTTAACTTACACACCCAGGAGGAGCACAAATAAGATCCAGTTTCTACCTATATTATATTATATTATATTATATTATATTATATTATATTATATTATATTATTTATATGGACTCAGAGTAGCGGGGATTCTTTTGGGCAGAGATGCAGAGGGGCAGGCAGACCGCTGATGATTCATGAACTCCAGCTGTGTTCTGCACACGGCCACAGTCACATTTTCTAAGTGGCGTCACCAAAAATATACAATTAACACACAGTCATTCGTGTCCGTTCATTTTCTTTCTGCTAAGTTCTGTCTGTATTTGAGCGTGATGTGTGGACGCGCTCGCGCTGCAGCGCTCGTCACTGGCGTAGCCGTGCAGCGCGGCGCACACTCCGCTTTTTTTGCAGTCAATAGATCAATTTGATCTGCTAGTTAAAAAGTTACTTGTGAGGTGAAAAAGAAGGAAGCAGGCAGGAGTGTTTCTGGTGGACTGGGAGATGCAGGAAGATCAGAGACAGACAGGACAGGAAGATAGGAAAATAAAACCCAAGGAAACAGAACAAAGTTCTTAAAAAGATTAAATGTAGGTAGATTGATCCCGCTACACGTTTGTACCTGTATAAAGCAATAATTTATCAGCATGTAGTATTTATATAGTTGACACAATTCAGATCATCTTAAAACTCCGTCCCATGCCCAGGGACGTATCGAAGCATTTTGGGGGCCGAGGCAAAATAGACCCCTGCCAGGTATTTTAAGTTGAAGTGCTATCTGTTTTTATATTAGACTTTTTATATTTGCAATAAAGTCCAAAAGTGAAGAATTTGTTATTTATTACTTGATTGTTCAAGCTACCTCACAGAAGTGATCTGTTGTTAAAAATTAAAATAAAAAGGTAATTAAATAAAAAATAAGGAACATTCTGGAAATGTTTCTTCCTTTTTTATTTTTTTTTTATGAATCGAAAGTATTGGATCGGGACTCTGTATCGGCAGATTCTCAATCAAATGACTCGGACTCAAAGGCAAATAAAACTGATCGGGACATCCCTATTTCTGATCTCACTATTGTGAATGGACTGAAGTACTTCTGTTTTTCTTCTGTTTCACTGCATAAAACCAGGGTGTGTAAAGTTCCTGTTTATTATTGGAACTCCATCATATTTTGGAAGAAGGTGACGCGTTTTCAGCCATTTATGGGATTGAAAACTTCTGATTGGTCTCAACAATCTGATCAGATGTGTAAAATGTTACCTTACAGAACCATAATGATATTCAGCAGTAAAAACGGGGTTCTACAGGAGCCTGTTATGGTGTTAACCTATTATGGCATTAAATCAGAAGTCAGGACTGAAAAAGTCATCCTACAAGACTAAAGCTTGAGATAAAAACAGATGAAAGAACTATTTCATAATAATATCAGCAGCTAAGATGAAAGGTTTTCTGTTTATCAGTCAAACCTCTTTGATGGTCCAGTGAACTATTGCATCAAGCTGGTTTTCTGCATTATTTACAACCGGAGTGTGTGGATGTAAAGGATTAACCCTAAAACTGCAGGAATGGGCAGATGTAAGGTCCACGAGCAGCTGGAATATCAGGTATTTGATAGAATAATGCAAAATTTATTAGAAACTTCAAAGACTGTGGAACTGGATATTTTGGGTATTTTGGTTGACTCAGATGGAAAAAACTAAAATCTTAATATTTGATTGATCATTTTTCTCTTACATCCTTTTTTACAATGTCAACACTGCTTTGAACAGTTAAGAATGCAGAAACTATGAATAACTACCCCTCAGACATCATTAATATGATGCTCATGTCAGTGTTGTGTGTAGGTTTTTACAGATTACTCATACCAGGGTCATCAGGAGCTGATAATGGGACTCTAGTGAGAAACTCTTTACACAGACTGCTAATGTAGACTTCTATGTCACAAGGTCACACGTTCCTTCTGAGGAGCGAGAAGGAAAATCACTTCCTGCTGGGCCACAGTCACGGGACGGACTGGGTGGAGTACGACGCTCGTGGGTGGCTGAACTACGCCAAGCAGAATCCCGCCTCCACCAATGCTGTCAGCCTCCTGCAGGACTCCCAGAAGTAGACGTTGCATGCTAACTCTTATTATTTGTGATGCACAGTAGATATGTAACCTTACTTCAGTAGATAGCTAATAAGGATAATAATGAAGTGCTGTGCCTCCTGCAGGAAGATCATCAGCTCCTTGTTCATGAGTCGAGCAGCTGGAGCCACCGTGTTGTCCGGTTCCATCGCTGGCCTTGAGGGGACTTCCACCATGACCTTTCGAAGGGCTACTAGCATAAGGAAGACCTTCACCACAGGGGTCGCTGCTATCAAGAAGAAATCATCTTGCATCCAGATAAAGCTTCAAGTGGTGAGAGAAAAAAAAACCATCCAATCAGACTTGTGCTAAAACAAATTCATGTCTGCATCAGCAGCGAGCTCCAGGTGTATAAAGGGGCAGATTGATCCGCACTTGTAACCTTGTTCAGGATTTGTTTGCAATCTGCTTTAAGCCTTGGAGCATTCACAAATTGTATAATGCAGTTAAAAAAAGTGTTGAGATGAAGACCAGTAGTGTAGCTGCAGCCAGAGAAAATGATGTATAACCTGCTTTTGTAGAGACGGGCTGCAGCTGCTTTCTGCTTTCAAGCCTTCAAACCCCAAAAGGATCTTTATTTTTAGTTTATTTATAAATGTACACACGTCTCAGCAACCGAAAGCCAGAACAGTGCATTGAATTTCTGATTAACTTTTTGCAGACTACAATATAGCACATACATACATCTGCATTTACATCAATCAGAGCTGACCAACAAGACGATAAACCCAGAAATCAACTTATTATGAAAAATGGAAATATCATATTACAATGAAAAACATGAAACACCCAATCCTTTAGAGTGTTTAAAGCAAAAAATCACAGAAAATTAAATAAAACATGTTGGGAGTTGATATTCTGCTGGGTTGGGGCTGAGTTGGTGACCTCGAGCTTTGTGTGGTTCTGCGATGCTGCTTCTCTGGGCCCTGGCTAGATGGGCTGGGGTCTTTAAACTCAGGGTGGGTTTTGGGGATGGGGGTGCTTATTGGGGCCAGAGGGGCATCTGGTTCCCTGGGGGGCTTAGACCCCCCAGCTTTTCCTCCTCATTCTCAGCCATTTTCCTCCTCCTGCTCCTACACATCACCACACAAACATGCACATAGGCCTTGGGGTACAGGTAAGTTCAGGGGGTTGTTTCCCATGTCCGCAGGCCTGTGATGGCCTGCACCCCAATTTTAATTTGCACATTAAACACTTCCACAAATGGGATTCCATGCAAACGCATACTTAGGGCCTTGGTGGTGAGCACAGTCGACAGGACCTGGAGGGGTGGATCTGTTCACTCAGCCTCACCACGGGTGCCGGTGCCCACTTCCAATTTTAAGCCCCTCCCCTCCCAACCACAGAATGCATTTTAACAACATGCATCAACGCCACATTGCAGCAGGCGGAGGGAGACTAGGGCTCTTCTCACACCTCTACTCGGTTACCCGGGGTTGGAGGTTAGGAGTGGGAGCTGGCTATCAGGTTGGGGTCTGGGGTGGTGGGCCGCTTTGCTCATCATTACCCCAGTAAGAACGGGACCAGCTCTGGTGTCCAGGAATAGTAGTGTCCTCTGCACAGCAGTACCAGGACGAGGATGAGTGGAGAGTGCATGGGGAACGTGAGTGGGTGTATGACGTACATTCTTGTTTGTCTTTAGGTTGTATGTGTTCATGTGTGAGCATGAGGGTGGAAGTGTGTGACTGCGTGTGTGTGACTGTATTTGTCAGGCCGCCCTTCTCTTACTCCTCCTGCTACTGCCTTACCCATCCACAGCCTCATCACATCTAGCACTGACTACTGCACCTCCCCTGCATATCCCTCCAGGAACTGTGCGTGTCATCGCTAGGACTCTCACGACCACATTTATTCTGCAGCAACAACACTGGCTTCCCATTGAACAAAGAATCGTTTTCAAAATAATCCTCATCACGTCCAAAGCTCTAAATAACATGGCTCCATCTTACACATCTGATCTTGTTCACATCGCCACTCCTGTCTGCTCACTTAGTTCCTCAGCCTCGCCTCAACTTTCAGCTCCCCCCACTCGCCTTGTCACCATGGGGAGTAGAGCATGCAGTGAAAACCCACCTGACAAGCTTTTATTAGTTTCATTGTTTTAAGGTTTTAACATTTTAGTCTTTCTGTGTATTTCTGTGCTGTGTGTTTATTTTGTTCTGTTTTATCTCCATTGTTATAAAGTGTCCTTGTGTTGTGAAAGGCACTTTTAAATGATCTGTATTAATAATATTATTACTGTAGTTTTTATTATTGAACAAGACCCTGAGATATGTTAACTCCTCCACTTGAGGCAGGACCATGTGCCTGACCTGGAGAAGGCTTTCTACCCTACATCCATGCCTGATCTATTTAGTTAAACACATTTCTGTGTAGTTTCTTTGGTTTCTATGAGGAGGCTAAGCTCTTGGCTATATTTAAATACATCAATAGAAGGTAATGGATTCATCTTTGATCTGTTTCAGCCAGAGTTCCTCACCCTGCTCTTTCTATTCCAGGATGCCCTTCTTGACATGTTGCGGAGGTCTAAGACTCACTTTGTTCACTGCATCTTGCCCAAGGCAGATGCTCTGCGGGCTCTTAGTGGATCTCTGTTCAAAGGTGGGGAACCTGAGGCTCAGGGGGAGCCTGGAGATCCTGGCTTAATGCAGCTAGATGTAGCCCTGCTCCGTGCTCAGATACGTGGATCCAAGCTGCTTGATGCTCTTCGGATCTACAGGCAAGGTGAGGATGCTGCTGAAATCCCATGTCTGGTGCAGATAAACATAGGCCTTCTAGCATGTGTGTATTGGGGTAAAAAAGGGAAACAAAGGTAGTTTTCTCCCTGGAGGTCACTTCGAAGCAATGATGGCGCTCCACAAACATTTGGAGAATATAATGTTATCCAATCCCGACTTTCCACAGGCTACCCCGATCACATGGTGTTTTCGGAGTTTCGACGGCGCTTTGATGTGCTGGCCCCGCATCTCACCAAGAAGCACGGGAGGAATTACATTGTGAAGGATGAGAGGAGAGTAAGTCAGTTGGCGAGATTGGGCCGGGGTGGGGATTTGAAATGTACAGCTGCACCGGTGGCCAAGCGCGGTGAAGATTGATGTTGTAGAGAGACAACTTCATTACATCTGCCCCTGATTTGTCAGCAGCCAGTGGACAGAGAAATAGACATTCATCAGAGCTATAGTAATGACCTAATCAACTTAACCTCATCGCCATCATGCTGGTGAAGAAGGGCGATTAGAATTGTAGCTCCATGAGAAGAAAATTCTTGCTAGATGCCTCAGGCATCTTGTGCATTTCAGTTTATGTCCGTGTTTTGTTTTAATTTCACTGGTTAGTTTAATTCCTACTTTTTAACTATTAATGAGGGTGCACCCTTTACTGGTGCTCTGCTGCAGAAGCCTTATTCAAGTACAGAGCAACACAGAACTTTATAAAAGAGAAGAGAGAGAGAGTGAGAGAATGGGGTTAAGGTAGAGTGTTGGTGTGTTGGGGCTGAGTTTCTGTGGAAACGCTGGCAAACAAAAGCCCCTCAGTTTTCACGGCAAACCTCTCCTGGTGTAATCTAGATGTAGCCTTTCAGGCTGGAGTGGAGAGAAAACGGCTGAGACAACAATACAGCTACAGTACACACAGGCTGCTGGATAGACAGAGCGAAGCCTGGCTGATGGTGTGCTCAAAGCTGCAGTGGGGGCCAAGAACATCAGGGGGTCATGATGAATTAGCCAGGAGCAGGTGGATTCTGGAGGACAGTGTGTAATTGGGTTTTTGGGAGGCTCAGGAGCCAGACTTTGTTCTGTGTGCTTGCCGACTTCCTTTCTGATCTAAATCCAGCTGAAAGTCCATGTGAGGGAAAAACTGCACTCCACTAATTTAAAAACGTGGGGGCTTGGTGGACCAATGACCTGTTGCATTGCCTAGAATCAGTCCTGTTGTACCCAAATGTTTTAAAGACCAATCTTTGTGTACTCTGACTTCGCTCAGGCAGTGGAGGAGCTCCTGGAGTCCTTGGATTTGGAGAAGAACAGCCACCACATGGGTCTGAGTAGGGTGAGTGATCCCCACTACACCTACAAAAATAAGTTTCAAAGTCGCTGCATAAACTTTTGCTTTGAATTGCTGCCAGTCCCTCACCTCTTCGAACCCCAACAGTGCTACAGCTTTTTTATTTTTTTTGAGTGATACTCGCTGTCTGGGGAAGTGTGTGTCTTTCATTCCACCTTTCCCTCTTTGAGGTTTGTTTGCAATTCTTTGAAGAGCTGCCAAGTCTTGTCTCTTCATCTTATCAGCTTCCCGACAGGCTCGTGGTCACTCGCTGACAGTCGGACAGTAATTCTCCCTTTCGCTTTGGGTCATTAGAGCAAATTGTCACCACTGTTTTTTTTTGTTGTTGTTGTTCTTCATGAAGATGTAGTCCACCAGTCACTGTAAACGCTGCTGGGAAACACGGCTCTAATTGGGTCTAATCCCATCAGCTGGAAAGGGGCCATCAGCTAAGACTGGAATCAAAGGAAACAATATCTTATAAAAAAGAACATATTGCTTCTAGAAACATGCAAGAGCCTTTTAAAACACACGAAGGGGCTCAGAGCAGCCTGACATGGTGCCGCACTTTGGAGTGTGAAATCTACTCTGAGGCTTAGTTGGCCATTCGCAAAGCACTCCACTGGCACCATAGCAACCCGTCTCACTTGCATGCCAATTACATGGAGCCTAAATAACCTTCCAGCAGCGGATTCGCAGCTCTGTACGGGATAAAATCTGCCATCGCAGAAAGCCGCATGTTGAAAAACGGGTCAGCCTCCCACATTTTACAAAGTACTGCACGCATCTAATGATGATAAAAGGTAAACTGCTGCTCGGGCCCTTTAACCAAATTGAAAAGTAGTATTCCCTGATGCAACTAAATGCATCACTCCTCCGTAAATGTTTGCAGGTTTTCTACCGGAGCTGCTAGGTCGTTTCCAGCCATTACTTTGCTAACAGACCAAATATGGATTTATCTGTGAAGCAGTAGGACTCAGAGCGCAGACCTTGGGTGTCTTGTTGCCGTCATATTTATGATGTATTTGCGGTACTTGATCTGCCTACGAGTAGACAAACCTTGGTGTAATCTGCGTTCGATCCTCTGTTTACCTGTGCTTTACCTTTGCCCTCAGATTAGAAAGAGATCTTGCTGATTGTCCCAGATAACAACTTAATCTCAGCTTTATCGCTTAGATAAGGCTCTGTTGTCTCTATATTACACCTTTTCTTATTGATTTCTTCCTGCCTCACTTCATTAATTTACTTTTTAATGCACTTCTGTTTTAACTTTGCCGCTTCGCTCCACATTAAAGCAGGCCGCTCGATTTAAACCTCTCCAGGCCAACCTAAGCATCAGAAAATCTCTCAATAATGTTTCCCCTCCGCTAATGTGAATTTGTTCACCGTTGTTTCTTGCTCCAGTTGTTTTTCCGAGCTGGCACTCTGGCTAAGCTGGAGGAGCAGAGGGATGAGCAGACCAAGCGCAATCTAACCCTGTTCCAAGCGTCCTGCAGAGGTTACCTGGCACGGCAAGCCTTCAAGAAGAGAAAGGTGTGTTTGCTATCCTCTAGTCAGGATGAATGTAAATATAAAAGATATTATCTGCATTGTTTTGATATAAAAATAACACTATTTATATTTAAATGACTTAAATGGCATTTTTTTACATACCAAAACAAACTATGTGGGACATGTCATGTATTTTTGCATGAGTATAATGTTTGAGGTTGGCTGAAATCTGGAGATTTATCCTTGGAGCCTGTTTGTTCTCTGCTCGTGGCGGATCTGACCAGCTAGGCTGCAAATCTTCAACTAATTACAAATAAGTACTCTAAATCTATTGCTCACACCCCCTGCCTCTGTGTGATCCATCCAATCATCTCTCCCAAAGGCAGAAGGAGCTCATTTCTTCTGCTGGATGCCCCAAGAATGCCCTCCTATCAGACATGCTGCTGACTCACACATCCACCTGCTCCGCCCCCTCCTCCATTTCTCCGTTAGCATGCACGGCTCCATTTCTCTGGACCTAATACGTGTCCTCCTGTGATGTATGGAGCCTTGCACTTCTCCATCTCTGTGATTACTGTTTAAGTGAAAGTGCTGCTTCAGCCGACTTGTGATGAACCAGCAGAAACAGAATCAATGTTACTGCTCTCCAACTATGACAAACTGCGAGGGAGTAAATATCTTGTTCACTTGTATATGAAGCTGGTAAGACTATTAAACTGTCATATTTGCAGTAACGTAAATCACTGTCACATAAATAATACAGAGCTTTCACATTTCTCTTTTTTCTCGGGGGTTGGGACAAATTTTGCTTTTAAATTTCAGGTTTTTTTTTAAACTGCAAACCGACTAATGCATTTCTTTTATTGGGTTCAGAGTTCAGTATTTGTTTCCTCCAGCAGGCTGAGAACCTAATGCTTCACAATCAGCTGGAATTGGAAGAAAATCGAGAGCAAGGAAGCATTCAAAATTGCCAAGCAACAGGGCAATTACGAAATCCATTAGCAAAAAACAAATTCTCCTCCTGCCCCCTCATGCCCCCTATCTCCTGCTAATGTGTCTGTAATAGAAAGATTAGACTTTATTTTATCTGAGTTTTATTGATCTGAAACTCAATTCAGGTTGTCGAGGTAACATGTTAAAGGCAGCTGCGGCTGGGGACATTTTCTTTGGATTCTTTCACGTCAGTGTACGTCGGTTTTCTGTGGAGCAAATTCTTTAATTGATGTAAAATATGTCTGTACGTGATTAGAGAAGTTGGACACACACACACACACACACACACACACACACACACACACACACACACACACACACACACACACACACACACACACACACACACACACACACACACACACACACACACACACACACAGGATAACGGCTGCACTTCAGTATCTTTAATTAAAATTTTAAGAGAATATTGAGCAGTTTTTTTATTGACAAAACTGAAGAAATAAGACCTGCTGCTCAGCTAACAAATACAAGAAACTCAAAATTCCCTAAGGGTCCCGGCACAGACTTTCAGATGACTCATAAAACAAGAAGAAGAGAGTAAACACAAGTATAGAGTCGTGACTTAGTCCACGAGTGCTTTTTAAAACCCAAAGGTGTAGCTGCCTTGTAAATTTTTTAAAAATATAAACATTAAAGTTGATTCTATGAAAATACTAAACCACACGTCACTGTTTTTACCCAGAATCCTTCACTAATACTCTTCTGTATATTCGTTCTGTGTTGATTCATAATCGTCTTTGTTCTTATTTAACACAGTGAAATAATGTTTTTTTATTTTATTTTATTTTTTTACCTTCGGCTGACATGTTTCGGCCGTAACTTCTGCCTTCAAAGGGCACTAAAGAAAGGACAACAACAGAAAGAGAAAAAACTAACCATCTAGGAGAACCAGGACAACCGAGGGAGCAGAGCCAAAACCTGCAATAACCCTTCCTTACATCAACGGCATAACAGAAAAAAATAAGGACAGTGATGAAAAGACACATAAACACACCAACAAAACCATACCTGATGATCAAGAAAAGAGTGGTGCACCCTAATGACAAAATACCAGATGGACAAAAAAGCAGTGTCATCTTTGAGATACCATGTAATCTCTGCAGTAATACATTCACAGAAGAATCAGGATGCCAACTCAGCACACGAAAAACAGAACATCAAAAAGAGTGTGAGAAAGAAACAAAACAAAGGCACATGAGCAGAAAAACAGGAAGTGGAACGTTAAATGAAAAAATCAGCGTCAACGGACCATTGCACAAGAGGAGATAGCATTGGGATTGGGACAGTACACGGATCATGGATACGGAACAACAAAAGTACATAAAATGGATTAAGGAAGCAATAGAGATTAGGAGACGTAGACACAACATCATGAACAGAGACGATTGTGTTAACACGTTGAATCACACATGGGACTGTGTTATCAGCAGGAAGGATGCAGGCAGCAGAGGGCGACATCATCCTTTGCTGCCCGCACATAAACGGTAGTGACGCCACGAAGAGCTGGCAGCTCTGACGAAGATGGAAGTTTCGGCTGAAATTTGGCAGTCGAATGTAAAAAAACCATCTAATTACTGTACTGTGTCAAGAAAGAAAAAATAAGATGATTGTCTTTCACTAATATAAACATTCGGTTGCAGTGTAAGAATGTTTCTGCCCTGTTTTAGAAGGTTGACCAAGGTATGTTATTTTACAAAGTTAGGTCAGCTTTGTCTGATAATGTTTGTTTTAGTCTGCCGGAACGTTGAGACGTTATTTCACACTGAAATAATCAAAGGCTCAGCAATCCTTAAAGAAACGCATGTGGCTTTTAAACAGATTGTCTTATTTTGTGAAAAATAGTTATATTCTTTCTGCTCAGATCTTAAAAATAGTATTGCATCATCAATGATCACTCACTGTTTTTGATGTAAACAACCCTCAACCTCAGATGCACCAAAATTTAGCTCAACATCTGCCAAAATAAACCCTCCGTGCCGTCAACCGTAGGTTTCTGAAGACCTGAATTGAAGCCAATGAGCAGGTCCCACTACTGCCATCTTGGCCATGTCACACGTCTCGTCACTCCCGGAAAATTAAAAGACGAAGCTGAGAGCGGGACTGTGAGGGTGGGGGGCAGATGATCGACCCCTATCAAACTGAGCTGATGTAGCTCTGAGCTAACCAGAGCTAATGAAGTTTGGTGGGTCCTTTGAGCCAGAAAACCACGGTTGATTGACTCTGTTACCCTCTGGCATCTAGGTTGTAACACATTTAGCACGAGACAGAGGCTGAGGCCTTCAATGGAGCAAGCAGGAGTCAAGCTGCTAGCACTGTTGCCTCATCTACTACCTTTCAATCAAAAGAGGTGGCCCCCCAACCTGTAAGGGACGTGTCTGTTGTCATGGTAACTCTGGACACCACCGCCTCCAACGGAACCCCAGTTGTGAGAACTGTTCGGTCTCTCCAAGGCTGGAGAGCCGACATGCATGCCGGAGTTATTTTCACTCTGCGGTGGAGATGACGGCGGGAGCACAGTCTTAACGACCTTACCCACCGCTGAACAGCCCTCATCATAAGAAGTCCCAGTCACACCACAAATCATTGACGTCATGAGGCCGAGAAGGTGCAGGCAAAGTCTGTACGACGCCCAGTTTCCTAACTTAAAAACGTGTGACACACTGTGTGAAGGATGCAATCCTCTCTTCTGACCGTGAAATGCGATAAGAGAGTCTATCTGAAGACCCAGATATTCTGTGCACTGTAAGGGGAATAAACTGCTCTTTGTCCAGTTTATTTTGAACCGCAGGTCGTTCAGATGGTTACACCACCAGCGCGTCGCTGGCTGCTTGCTCCCGGGAGGGAGCGCAAATCAGATAATTGGCTATGTAAGAGAAAATTCTGATCCCACGAGTCCTCAGTGAGGACAGCGCCGCCTCCACACACTTGGTGAACACCCTCGGTGCTAATGACAGCCCGAAAGGGATGGTTTGAAACTCGTAGGCTGTGCCCTGATAGGCAAACTTGAGAAATTTCCTGTGTGGAGGATAAATAGAAATGTGAAAAAAGGCATCCGCGAGATCGTTCGTGACAAACCAATCTCCTGGACGGATGGAACGGCAGAGTGTTTTGTGAGTCGACATTCTGAACGTGTACTTGTGTAAGTGTTAAAACACGCAGGTCGAGTATGGGATGGAGAGATTTCCCGTCCTCCTTTGGAATGAGGAAGTAGTGCGAATAAAAACCCTGGTGGGCCTTGTCTCTCGGCACCATCCTGATCGCCTTTTTGTTCAACAGTGAAGCGATTTCGTTTTCCAGGATATGCGCCGAATCCTCTCTTGCCACTGACGTTATCCCGTTGAAACGGGGCGGTTTTGAGGCAAACTGAAGCCTGTAACCCAGGAGGGAACTGCGCATGCGCCCCACCTCTCGGCCCGAGCCGAAAGCGAGCCGCTGTTGGGTGACGCCATTTCCGTCACCCGAGCCGACTCGACTCGTCCCATGGGAAGAGCGAGAGGGCCCTCTGCTGGGCGCAGAGGGACCTGATGGGGTTTGTTTATTATTTTTTTGTGGGGAGCTTTCTGCCCTTGGCTGAATGCCTGGCTGCAGAAAAGCTGTGTTTATTTTTAAACGAGCCTCATGAACATTTTTGCACACATTTGGGAACAAAGTGCTTGGTGACACTGACTGTGCTCATTTGAAAAGTGTTTGGTGACACTGGGTTTTCTGCTCCACACACTCGTCTCCCTGAACCGAAGATGGAGGAGCTAACAAAACTCCTGTTGGGCTGGGAACCACGGGAGTGTCCAAACACTGAACACAGGTCTGTTTTTACCTCTGAAAACCTCTTCTTTTGGAGAGAGGCAAGAGCAGCTAGGAGGACTTCTTCCTCTTGCCCTCGCTGGGGTGAGACGAGCGGTTCCTGGCAGCTGCTGCTGCAAAAGTGTGCTTCCCCCACGGGCAAGGGTTCTCCTTGTTTGGCTGACAACCTGCTGACCGCTGTGGTCTAGCCCCACCCTGTCGACCCTTTGCCGCTGAGGCCGCTG